CCCAGGAAGGGCTCCGGATCTACAGTTGAGCCCAGGGAGGGCTCCTGATCCCCAGTTTAGCTTAGGAAGGGCTCCTGATCCCCAGTTAAGCCCAGGGAGGGCTCCTGTCCCCTCGTTTAGCCCAGTGAGGGCTCCCGATTCCTCATTTAGCCCCGGAAGGGCTCCTGACCCCCAGTTAAGCCAAGGGAGGGCTCCTGATCCCCAGTTAATCCCTGGGAGGACTCCAGATTCCTCGTTTAGCCCAGGACGGGCTCCTGATCCCCAGTCCAGTCCAGGAAGGGCTCCAGATCTCCAGTGGAGCCCAGGGAGGGCTCCTGATCCCCAGTTCAGCCGAGGAATGGCTACGGATCACCAGTTGAGCCCAGGGAGGGCTCCTGATCCCCAGTTCAGCCCAGGGAGGGCTCATGATCCCCAGTTAAGCCCAGGGAGGGCTCCAGTTCTTGGAGCCCGTAAGCATCCCCAAGTTTTTTTTTTGGGGGGGGGTAGTAGTGCACCAGCCGTAGAGGCCGAGGTCTCGAAGTCTGCTCTTCCATGACCTTCTGAACTGCCTGCACTGCCATGGCTCCCCTATATCCCTGCTCCGCTGTGGGTCCCGGAATGGGCACCGCCCTGGAGGCCTTCTGTCCCTAGAGGCCTCCAGAGTGCCCCCCCCTCCCCATTGGATGTTGTCACGGTGCGGGATGCGCCTTCCGGGAGGGGGGAGTAAATGTCAGTCTTGTGTTCCTGTGTCTTGTGTTTCCCTCCCTCTTTTGCACATTTCTGGTCTTCCTGTTCCTGTCTCCATTATGTTTATTTGATTCCAGCTGTGTTTGATTAATTATCTCATTTGCCCTTGCATTTAAACATTGTGTTTCCTTGAGTCCCTGTCAGCTGTTAAACATCATACCTGAGTTCTTGTGTTTGTATCCCTTTGTTTGTTTAATTAAAATTTTATGTATTCTCCTGGATTTCCTCGTTCCTTTCCCGAGTGACCGTGACACGATGAGCTATAAATTTTTTCATCTTTATTACCAGTATAGGGGAAATATCTCAGTTATTTCTCCTAGACAACATTGAGATACAATTGAGAAGCAATTTAGAATCTCAAGTGTCCAGTTTCTAAGATTTTTTCCCCGTTTAAAAAAAATGTTAAATAAAAATCTTCCCAACAGTCTTAAAGGATCAATTCGCTTTCAGCATAAAATGTTCCTTATAATTTACTCAGCCCCATGTCTTCCAAGATGTTCATGTCTTTCTTTTTTCAGTCTTCAGTCTCAAGGTTTTTGAGGAAAAGGTTTTTTATCCATATAGTGGAATTCAATGGGTATCAAGGGGTTAAAGGTCCAAATTGCAGTTTCAGTGCAGCTTCAGGGGCATGAAGATGTTGGATGACATGGGGGTGAGAAAAATTATCAGGAAATTTTTATTATGGAAGTGAACTAATCCTTTAAACTGTACTCAAATTTGTCGAGAGTCAGCAGTCCCCCGTCTTGGATTTTGTCTCTTCTGCAGTTTCAAGAAGTGATCTCAAAAATTCAATTCAATTCAAGTGTATATGTATAGTGCTTTTCACGATACAAATCGTTGTAAAGCAACTTTACAGAAAATTAAGTTTCTACAATATTTAGTAGTAGCTTATCAGTGGTGACGGTCAGTTAATGTACATATCGCAGAAATGTACGGAAAATCTATTAAAGATGTAGTCAAACAGATGATGAACACTATTAACAGAAATTATTATATGATGCAATCAAACTTATAGCAAAATTTGGTAGTTCTGTATGTTGTTTCGGGGTTGGCATCATCTGAGGTCCTCTGAGGGGTTGGCATAATCTCTTCTCAGGTGTTCTGGATCCAGACTGAAGCTTGTGTAAATCGTAGTTACCATGGGATGTTAATCCCGTTGCAAAAACAGAGAAGCAAATGGAGACATAATTAGCGTAGCTGCTGTTCCAACCAAGCAAAATTAATTTGTTTAACCCAAGCTAAAGAATAATAATGTGCATTTGATCAGATATAACTGCAGTACAAGATTATGAGATGCATTATTTGAATGCTTGGCCAAAGAGATGTGTCTTTATAGATTTAAACAGAGAGAGTGTGTCTGAACCCCGAACGGTATCAGGAAGGCTATTCCAGAGTTTGGGAGCCAAATGCGACAAAGCTCTACCTCCTTTACTGGACTTTGCTATCCTAGGAACTACCAAAAGTCCAGAATTTTGCGACCTTAGGGAGCGTGATGGATTGT